GTTTTTTTTTTTTTTTTGTTGAGATAATAGAGGAGGGAAATTTGGGAGCGAACTGAAAACCCTCGCCATATCTAATAGTATTTTTTAATGAACAGTCGATGTAGAGATACTTATTACAACGGTTAAATAAACCACTGCAGTAAATACCTCTATGGCAGCGGTTCTTTAGCTACTGCAATGGTTTAGTTGCAAAAGTTTGTTAATAGAATGAAGATCCTTGTGCAACGGCTTAAACCATTGCTTCAGACCATCTACCACAATGGTTTTATAACCATTGCGGTAAACCCGTTGCTATAGGTCCAATTTCTAGTAGTAGCTTTATTATGTCAAATGCCTGGCTATCAGTTAAACAGAGTCGGAGTCTAATTAGCTCCTTAATCGAGAGCCAAACGTTCGCATGTGATAGAGTCGAATTGTTCCTTAGCCAAGCCAAAGTGGCAAAACAAAGCCCATTCTTCTCAAACAGATAAATAAGAGGGGAAGAATGTCGGGAAACAAATTAAATTAAAGGTCCTAAATACAACTCCATTTTGTGAGTGGACTCTTCAGAACCTTCCTTTCTTCTCCTCCTTTAACGGTAATTTTTACGGTCGTGAGTTAATCGCTCCTGCTCACCCTTTCCCCTTTAACATCTAAAGAAGCAGAGACTAAACATTCTCTTTCAATTACCATTCCTCCCTGAATCTCTTGAGGATATATCGAATAATATATCTCAAGAGTTTCAACAATGGAATGGCGTCCATTTGATATCACGGTGCTCTCTGCCGACTGCATTAAAAATGTCAATCTTTTTTATCCTATGGATGTCTATGTAGAAGTGTCCATCTTTGGCTACGCCAAAAACAAGAAAAAGACATTTGTAGACAAAAAAGGTGGCACTAGCCCCAGGTGGAATTACCCCATGAAATTTACCTTGGATGAGCCTTCCCTTACTAAGCCTGATCTTTCCCTTTTCTTTCGCCTTAGATCTAATCGTTTTTTTGGTGATAAGGATATCGGCATTGTCACTATTCCAATCCAAGAACTCTTTACAGATTCCACCTCAAACGATGAAGGCAGCGCTGAGAGGATTGTTGAATATCAGGTCTTCACTTCTGGGACTAGGAAACCTAAAGGTACCCTAAAGTTCGCGTACAAGTTTGGAAAAAAATTTGCTCACAACCAACATATCAATGGTTATCCTGCATTACCAGCTGGGACTCACCATGTCAACCACCAACCTGTCACTGGCTATCCACAAACTCATATGCCACCTGTTTGGTGTGGTACGTCATCAACTGGAATGACATACCAGCAACATCATCCAGGAGGATATCCTTCCCCTGGATATGGTGGATACCCGGCCGCAATGCCACCGCCCGGGTATCCACCTGCTGGATATGATCAATATCCACCTCCACCAGGGTATGGATATAATCCTCCAATGCAGCAGCAAGTCCAACAACCAAATAATAATAAGGGTAACAAGTTTGGAGCGATGGGAGTAGGGCTGGGTTTGGGTGCAGGGCTGGTGGGTGGTGCGCTGGTCGGACATGCGATTTCAGATGCAATGGACGATGATTAAACGAGTCTCTATATTTTGGTTTTTTTATTTTTGGGGATAATTCATAATGGTGTAAGGTATATGTCTTCTCCGGTTTCTTGAGATTTTGTTTCATCTGAATCTAGTATAAAAGAGGTATAAACAAAAGGATTATGTATTGCCATTTCTTTTGTATCATGTGGATATTAATTAGCATTCTTTTTAGTCTTCAACTTTTTAGTTATTAGAAATCATCAACATATGATTTTTCCAAAAGATTCTCAATAGTATCATTCTTATATGTCCTTTTTCTTTTCTTGGATTGTTTTAGCATATTGTGATTCACTTTGTTTCCTAGGATACTAGATTTGTAGCGGTTAAGAAAAGGATTAAAGATAAATGCTTCTGAAGTCGTGGAGAGAAAGATGCTTTCTCTCTTTATAGCAAGTCAAAGGAAAATTATCTGAGTACGTATTATATTTGCCTTTAATTTGCAGTGCCAGGAGTAATAAAGTTTCTTGCATCAAGTGAAGATTATTAGGATAATTTTAGAATATTCAGAATTTATATTATATGAATTGATGTGAGACTACACATTTATAATGATATATACATACAAAACAAAAAGTTAAGAAAAATTATGTGTAACGACCCGACCTGTCGTTTTGAGCTTTGGCATTTCGTTTGATGGTCTGAGGCCTTGGGTAGCTTCATATGATGTATTACGACTTGCGAGAGAGTTGATCAAGGTTTGACTTTTGAGTAAATGACCTCGGATTGATAATTTGATGATTCCAATAGGTTTGTATGGTGGTTTTAGACTTGGGCGTACATTCGGATATAGATTTGGATGTTCCTACAAGGTTTTGGCTTTATTAGTCGAAAGTTGGCAATTTGAAGAATTGGCGAGTTCATAAGTTTAACCGGGAGTTGACTTCTATGTTATTAGAACTCTATTGTGATTTTGAATCTTTGAATATATTCATTTAGTTGATTGAACTTAAATATAAAGTTTGGTTGTAATCCGAAATGTTTAAGTGTGGTTCAGACGCATTCAGCGAAGTTGGAATGTTGAAAGTTAAGAGAATGATTTTGATCTTCGCTTCTTGGTTTTGATTTATTGCGGTATTTGGAGCCTTTGGATAAGTTTGGATGAAATATTTGGACTTACTGGTATGATTGGACAGGGTCTTGAGGGGCTCGAGTATGATTCAAGCTGGTTTCGTCCCATTTCAACGGAGTTTACATTGCTTGTGTCAGGTATGAATCACGATCGCGGGGGTGTTATTGCACTGGCGTAGAAGGAGTGGGCTAGTGGAGCTCTATTATTCGCATTCGCGGCTGTTGGCCGTGTGTTCGCAAAGTGCTTGGCAGATTGGTTCACGTTCTTCGCATGAGGAGTTCGCGTCCGCGAAGGTGTGCACATAGGGGTAATTGTGGCTTACGCATTCGTGATTGTGGTGACACGTTCTCGTTTGCTTGGAGTTTAGGACTTTGCGTTCACAATTAGAGCTTCGCGTCGGTGATTGGGCCTTCGCGTTTGCGAAGAGGACTAGAGTGGCTAGTGATGAATATAAATTATTCATGTATTTTCATACGTATAAATAAGGATTTTTAAATAAACCATGAATAAATATATTCGATTCTCCTATATTTTCTAACAAGTTCTGCAGAGGAAAGTTGAATTGAGGAAAGAGTACTACAAGCAAAACAAGGAGGAAAAAGAGCAGTCCACTCGGGGTCCCATACCCCCAATAGTCACCACACACGACTAGTCTACACGATCCACAACTATAGTATCGCCCACCAGAGTAGATACATGAATAGATGAAACAAAAGACTCACGGGGTGTATCCAGATAACGGGCAAAGTATGATGACACATATGAAAAAGTGGAACCAGGATCAAATAATACAAAGGCATCTCTATGGCAGACTGATACAATACCTGTAATCACAGCATCTGTAGCAATAACATCTAGTCTGGCTGGGAGTGCATAGAAATGGGCCTGACCATCATCTGATCGACCTCCCTCTTTGGTGCGACCCCTAGCTGATTGACCCCCACCCCTAGCTGCCTGAGCGGGTGGTGAAGTAACTGGAGCTGAAGTTGAGGGCTGACCCCTTTACTGAGACGAACCCTCAAGAAGGCGGGGACACTGCCTCCTCATATGCCCAAACTTTCCACACTTGTAACAACTTCTCGGTGCTGGAAACGGGGACTGAAGAAAACCCCTAGAATCGGAATGACTAGCAGATACACCTGGCATAGAAGATCCCTGAACTAAGGGAGAACGAGACGAACTCTAGACTGGAAGGGCGCTGAGTGATGAATGGTCCTGATGAGAATTGTGAGAACCATGCCCCAAGGATGCCCCACGATAACCTGGGCGAGCTGACTGAGCATGCCTGAATGGACGACCTCTGCCATGCTGAAACTGACCCCTCGAAAGAGCACTACCAAAGCTACCAGGTCCCCGAGGCCTCTTGGCCTCCCTCTCCTTTCGCTCCTGGCTATGAACTGACTCAATCTCGCGGTCGATGTCAACAACTTCCTCAAAAGTATCACTTGACACCCTCTCCCTAGTCATGAGAATCTGAAGCTGATATGTGAGGCCATCAATGAACCTCCTGATCCTTTCTCGATCTGTGGGAAACCAACCAGACCGCATGACGAGCTAACTCAGAGAACCACATCTCATACTATGTCACAGTCATATCTCCCTGACGCAATTTCTCGAACTACCTGCGCAGCTCCTCTCTACGAGACCGTGACACATACTTCTCTAGAAAGAGAATGGAGAACTGCTACCAGGTAAGGGGCGCTACACTAACGGGCCTACACCTCTTATAAGCCTCCCACCAAGTAAAGATAGCTCCAGAAAACTGAAAAGTAAAATGCTACACCACTGGTCTCTAGAATACCTGTAGTACGAAGAATCCTCTGACACTTGTCCAAGAAACCCTGGGCATCCTCGCCCTCAGTACCACTGAAAGTCGGAGGCTAAAGTCTACCAAATCTCTCCAATCGACGCTGCTAGTCGTCAGGCATAACTGGTACCACATACTCCTGATCTGGTGCAACCGGCTGGGCTGGAGGTGCCCCTTATGTTTGAAGTCCCTGCACAATCTGTTGAGGTGTGTGAATAACGGGAGTCTGAGTACCTCCCCGGCCTGAGAAGTAGCTGCGGCCATAGTAACTGAGACCGCCTGAGCCAAACCAGTGCACACTGATAGAATCTGAGCTAGAGCCTCCTAAAGGCCTGGAATCATAATAGGCACAACTGGTGCCTGAGCTGGTGCTGCTGGAGCATCCGCAACTGGGACTTGATCCTTAACTGGGGCGGCTGGTGGATCTACAGGTGCTGCCCTAACTGCTGTGCAGGCTACACCCCTATCCCTACCACGGCCTCGATCGCGGCCTCGGCCTCTAGTGGCCCTAACTAGTGGTACTGGTGGTCGTCCATCCTGATCGATAGCACGTGTCCTCATCATCTGTGAGAGAATAGAATAACAGAAGTTTAGTACTAGAATCAACAGATTTGCATGACAGGAATTCAAGAATGAGAAGTTTTTCTAAAGGTTCTGCAGCCTCCCGAGGATAAATACAGACGTCTTCGTACCGATCCACGAGACTCTACTAAACCGGCTCATAACTCACGAGACCTATGTAACCTAGGCTTTGATACCAACTTGTCACGACTCCAAATACCCCGGTCGTGATGGCGCCTATAACAATACTAGGCAAGCCAACCCAACAAGTAACCACAGTGAATTCTTTTTATAAAACCATTTTTGTAAAATTGATTAAGTCTCGAATTTTCATAAGAAACATACTAAATCAGTGAAATGTGCGGAAAACAGTACAAAATAAACCAACACAGCCCAACAATCCAGTGTCACAAGTCAAGAGCCTCTAAATACAATCCAATCTAACTGACTAATACATCATAAGTCTAAAAATGCAGAAAACTAAGATAGGAAGGAGGAAAGTAGGGCTGCAGACGCCGTGCAGCTACCTTGCAGTCTCCGGTAAGCTCTGAAAATGTTGGGGAGCCTCACTCTGCCGCTCGGGCACCTGGATTTGCACATAAGGTGCAGGGACTAACGTGCGCACGCCAACTTAGTAAGTAACTAAAGTAAATAAGGTCTGAGTGCAGTGACGAGCAGTTAAAAATCATATATATATATATATGTGTGTGTGTGTGTGTGTGTTTGTTCAATAGAATATCAAGTCAAACTCAACAGTTTAAAAACCAGTTACTTTGTAAAACTTCAGTTCCAATTGAAATACTTTGAAATCATTTACTTAACAGTTTTCAACAGAGGCTCATTATAAAAGAAGAGTGAAAGCAGCAAAAAATGTCATAAATGGGCCCCTCAAGCAAGGTATCACTCATAAATATAGCCTCTTGGACAAGCCTCTCCTTCACTAGTGACTCAGCTCTCGTCACACAGTACTCACACTCAACACTCCGGCTCAATAATATCTCATAATAGTAATAACCATAATAACCGCTACGGTGTACAGCCCGATCCATAGTTTATAGTCGACTACGCTTACTGGGGTGTACAGACTCCGGAGGGGCTCCTACATCCCAAACGTCATATCGGTGCGGTCTGCAGTCTGAGCCAATATATATCATTGTGGCGTGCTCCATATAAGTATCGCTACGGCGTGCACCCCGATCCATAATACATACATATAACATTGTTGTGGCGTGCAGCCCGATCCATAATATATATATAATCCTCACCATTAGGTCCTCAACCTCTCTCAATCATTTAACCTCACAGTCACTCGAGCATATAAGTGGAAATCAGGGAACTCAGCCCAAATAGTTTTCACATTTTAAGAAGTAGAGTGATAAAACCAGGTTTAAACAATAAACAGGTAAAACATGACTAAGGATAAGCTTTCAAAACAAATAGAGAGAGGAAAATAGTAAAAATGCCCCTAAGGGTCTCAATAGGTTTGCACAAGGCCCCAAACATGGCATACAACCCATAATATAGTATCAATCTCTAAAATACGTGATATCATAAAATTTCAAGTCAAATGCGTGGCTTAATAGTCGCTATGAGACGGACCAAGTCACAATCCCTACCGGTGCACGCCCACACGCTCGTCACCTAGCATGTGTGTCACCTCATTTATCAAAACAATACAAAATACCAGGGTTTCATACCCTCAGGTCCATATTTACAATGGTTACTTACCTCAAACCGGATGA